GCAAACCCTAGAAGGGTTGTACTCGCTATAGAGCACCCCACTACAGGCTAGAGCATAAGATAACATTCTGACACACCCCCATAGCCAAAGTGGGGTGTAATCAGCAGAGCAAGCAAAGCAGTACAAGCTCAGGGTGGATCACAATGTCACCACACATTTTGAGCACAAGTTCAAGAAGCAATAGTTTAAAGTTCACAATTATGAGCAAAGCTAGTGGTAGTCACAACGGGCAAGTGAGGAGGAGGAGAGAGAGTGAGAGGACAGGAGATAGGAGGCGACGGATGAAGCTGCAGATACACGGTCAACAGGAGGCACACTGGCACAGCGGCTACCGGAACAACGCTCCGGAATACTGGAGTAACTGGCCCCGCGGCTAAAGTAGCGGCAGACGAGCAACGGACCCACGGGCGGCTCGCACAGCTGGCTACGACTGGGCTACCGGAGCAACTCCCCGGACTACAGGTGCTGCTGGCGACACGACGGCAACCTCCATTCAGCTTCCCCAAACTATCCCACTCCCCCCCGGCACACACCCGCTGCTACACCGCTAGCTCCACTCCCCCTTCACCCCCCCTTAGTACCACTCCACCGGCTCCAACACGTCCACCCCCCCTCAGCGACAGCTGCAGCACAGGGAGACGGAGGAGGAGGAGGAGCAGGGAACGGCACACAGTGAGGTCACCCCCATACCCCTCACCCCCAAACCCTAATTCAGGAGAATGGGGAGTAGAAGGGCTGGGGCGCCAGGAGAAGCACTGGGGGACAGCGGGGAGGGCAGGGGCAGCGAGGAACGGGCCCACCACGGGCCTGGTACAGACGCCCGAGCCGCGCGCAGGCGGCCCGAGTCGCGCGCGGGCCTGGCGCCGTCCGTACGGGCCGCGCGCGGGCCTGGCGCCGCTCGTACGAGTTGCGCGCGGGCCTGGCGCAGCCCGTACGGGCCGCGCGCGGGCCTGGCGCAGCCCGTACGGGCCGCGCGCTGCCTGTACTGGCCGCGCGCAGGCCACGACGGGCGACGGGGGGCGACGCGCGGGTCCCCGTCGCCCGTCGCGGCGCCTCCAGAGGACGACGCGCCGAACGACGGGGCAGAAGCCCGCCGCGCGCCTCGGGGCGCACAGCGGGCAGAGAGCCGCCGCGCGCCTCGGGGCGCACGGCGGGCAGAAAACCGCCGCGCGCCTCGGGGCGCACGGCGGGAAGAAAAACAGCCGCACGCCACGGGGCGTGCGGCAGAGAGAGTAGCAGTAGTAGTTGCAGCGGAAGCAACGAGGTGGTAAGCCCACCCACAGGATCGATCCAAGGGGATCGACCTGCTCTGATAGCATGTGAAAGTTAGAAGAAAGAAGAGAGTTGCACTAGCAAGAATGAGGATACAAATAGCAAACCCTAGAAAGGTTGTACTCGCTATAGAGCACCCCACTACAGGCTAGAGCATAAGATAACATTCTGACAGCAAGAAAGGTGTCACATGGCATTTTCGTGAGGGCGATGAAGTTCGAGGCCGAAACTGACATTCGCACCTCAGGCAGTGATGCTAAAACGACCAGCAAAACACCCACATTGACTAATTAAAAAAACACTACCGTAACACTAAAATATGCCATATGTAAAGACCCGGGTATTATGTATTTTTTTCCTATGAGGAGACCCCCCCCATTTTTTCCCTGTATTTTTAGCTATACCCTAGGGTGTTATGTCCAGGAGAATACGGTAAATGTGGCCAAGTTGAGGTGAGGTGGATGGCATGGGTTGGAAAGTGACAAAGGTCAAAGTTTGTTGCCTATGGGGAAGGGAATTGTGTGGCATGGGGTTTCCTTGGTTGGGAACTCTCTCTTGGGACCTTCTCTCTCGTCCTCCTCTTCCCCTCCTACCAGGTTTAGTGCTACTCTAATGTTCTTTTGTGGGACTTGTGAGTTAATTGTGATTGAGTTAAATTTATGTGGCAGCATACCCCCTAGTGCGCCGAAAAGCATAACTCGAGATATGCTTCATATTTTGATACAATTCAAATTGGGAAATGTAGCCACGGTCTAGAGCTACAACATATTCGAATTTCGTGGGATTCTAACTATGCACCTTTCGTCGACAACGTTTCTTGTGAAGTCGACGTTTCTGTCCAGAACTTGAGACCAACGATTTTGAGAAATTTGGGCACCTAATCTTCATAGACTCCGTCCTTAGTCTCTAACACCGTGAACCAACCATCAACCACCATCGTACCATTCCCTTTGTTGCTGTTGCGCTAAGTGGGGCTAAGTGGAGACAGCTCTTGCAACAACTACGGTACGGTACGGTTCGGTATGGTACCGGTATGCTGTATCAGTAGCACGCATAGGAAACGAGTACTGGTAGTTCAAGAAGCAGACTCATGCTGAAGGTGTTGCTTGCACGATTTGAGAGTTGGACCCTGAGGAGAGTCTAAGCGCTACTGCGGAAGAAAAACACTTTCTTGTCTTGCTACCTGCACACCTTCAAATAAAGTTCCATGCTCGAGACATCTTCACTCTCACACCCCCCTGACGACCACACCAGCACGAAGCAACTTCCTCCGAGCCCGTTCAGGAACCTTTCCCGCTTCCATCTTCAACTGCCTCAGCCTTGGGAAGCTTCCAAGCAACCCGATCACCCCAGCAGCAGTGATCCCGTTGCAAGCAATGAGAGTGGCATGAGTGAGAGTGTCGATTGGGCATGAGAGCAGCACTTTATCGGACATGGCCTCACAGCGCTCTACTCTCAGCTCCACCAACACCCGGCATGCTCGCAGCACTGCCCTCAGCTGCTCCTCCCCCACCCCACCGCACTGCACCACTGCCAACCGCCTCAGCCCGCCAAACACAGCCACCAGGGCAATGCTTTCAAACGGGTGCTGCTGCTGACTGGGAGGAGCACTTGGGGTGGAATGAAGGGAGGAGAGGGAGGTTGAGGGGCGAAATGTGGAGCAAGGAGGAGAACGGGAAACTGGAACCAGGAGGGGGCATGTAGAGGGAAGGTTTTCAGAAGTAGGCTCGGAAGGAGGGATGAATTCGATGCTTTTCAGAACCAGAGAAGCCAGGCAAGGGCAGATCATTTCCACTGGCGTGGCCCTCTCAGATCCTTCGCACGCCTTAGCTGATGCCAGCCTGCTGCTCTGTGCCCTTTCTCGCCTTTCCTCCCCTAGAGATCCCTCCCATTGGCCTCCCTCCTCTTCCACCTGCACTCTCTCTTGCACTCCCTCGCTCTCCACTCTCTCTTGCACTCCCTCGCTCTCCACTCTCTCTTGCACTCCCTCTCTCTCGTGCACGCCCTGCCCTTGTGCAGCTTCCACCTGTTGCTCCACCCCAGGGGTACCCCCTGCCACTTCACCCAATGCTGCTGCCACTGCTGCCGCCGTCCCAACCACTGCTGGAGCCCCACCTGCCGCTGCTATCACCCCACCCGCTGCTGCTGCTACCGCCCCAACCATCCCGCCCTCAACATCCTCCCCCGCATACAGCGCGTCAACACTCTCATGCATGGCCGTGAAATGCGGCCGCAGCTGCTGTGACAAGGTATCGCGCATCGCGCAAAACTCTTCAAGCGACAACTGGGGCATGCCGTCACGAGACACCTCCCACATCCGTTTTTCAATCATACCAGCGGTTGCCCCAGCACGATACTCCTCGTCTGTAAACACCACCGGGCTCCACACTCCTAGGTCTGCATCTCCCTCTTCCTCCTCCTCCTCCTCCTCCTCCTCCTCCTCCTCCTCCTCCTCCTCCTCCTCCTCCTCCTCCTCCTCCTCCTCCTCCTCCTCCTCCTCCTCCTCCTCCTCCTCCTCCTCCTCCTCCTCTTCGTGAAACACCGCTGTGAAAACTCCTGCCGTGCCGGCAGCAGCAGCAGCAGGGGCGGCAGAGAGTCGTGCCACAGCGCGTGCCCTATCTCTCGCAGCTCTCGCGTCGCAGACGCCCGCGGTTGCGGACTGGCAGGCGGAAACAGCGTCGATGACCAATTTAATGGCGATGTCTGTGTCGCACATCGCGGCGTTGATTTCCGACTGCACAGCGCGCACGAGGTCCCCCCCCGCCTTGACTAGCCGTCTCATGTCCCTCCATGCTGACGCCTCGTCGGCGCGCGCCGACGCTGCTGCTGCGCGGATATCGACGTAGGTGCGCCGGTTCCCGTTAATCCTCCCCTCCGCCGCCGCTGCACGAGCAGCAGCTGCAGGGGCACCTGTTCCCGCACCCGCACCCGCACCCGCAACCGCACCCACACCCACACTTGCACCCGCACCCACACTCGCACCCGCACCCACACTCGCACCCGCACCCGCGCCCGCAGGGGTATTTGCACCTCGTTCCACCCACACTCGCCCGGCCTCCTCCGCCCTGACGAGCATGCCCAGCAGCCCTTCCAGCGACCCCTCTGCTCGTTCGAGAGTGAGCGACTCAAGGCTGCTGCACCCCGCAAGCATACCCGGGCGGAACGACGGCAGGCCCGAAAGCGTGAGAGTTTGCAGCTTACGGGAGGACAGACGAAGCAGGGTTGAGAGGGAACTGGGACTGAAAAGACGGTACGTGGTGCCGGAGAGAGCGAGTGTGGAGAGGGAAGGGTTTGCTCGAACCATTGCTGCCACGGCACAGCCGCACACCAGCGGGCAATCGTCGATGGTGAGGTGCGTGAGGGAGTGGAGGGAGCGCGAGACGGAGTGAATCTCGCCCGGGTTGAATGTGCAGGAGTGGAGGGAGAGGGAGGAGAGGGACGTGAATGAGGAGGCGCGAGAAAGGTTGTTGGTCAGGTAGGCCGACTCCACAGTGAGGGATTGGAGAGAAGAGCGGAAGGAGGAGGAGGAGGAGGCGATGCAAGCAAGGTCGCCGCCGATGGGCTGCCAGAGGGAGAGCGAGGTGAGCGCGGAGCATCGGAGCAGCGGGAGAATTTCCTTGCAGTGAAAGCCGAGGGTGACGGCGCGAAGGGAAGGGAAGGCGTGGAGAGGCGGCAAGGCGTCTCTATCCTCGTAGCGGTGACGGGATGTATCGTGGGCGAACCGGGAACTGAGCTCCACATGACTCAGCTGGCTGGAAGGAGGTGGCCGGGGAGAGACCGGGGAGGGAGGAGTTGAGTTGATGGGACGTGCGAAGAAAGGGTGGTGCTGATGAGAACCGGTTCGCTGAAGTGATTGTAACAAGGCGGAAAAGGCGACAGAAGGGGCAGGGGACGAGAGAGCAAGAGCAGTCCAAGCCTTTAGGGGGGAAATCATGACAATCCTGCATCGTTGGCAAAATACAGGACGTTTTATTATCTCTTCCCTTGTACCTCCGTTGCATGCAAATACAGGGCGATTTTTAATGCTTGGGTTGGCAGAGAGAGCGAGGTAGATGGATACAGTCCGCACATCCCTTACCCAGACCACTCATGGGAATTGAGACGACTCATAACATCCCCAAGGCCGGCATTCACGGGCATTGCCGAGCAAGCGACCGCCAACCACTAGCAGTGGCTTCTAAACTTCCCAAATCCACCGCCAACAGTCTTAACTCTTCCAGCCGCCTGCACGTGGCGCCAATACCCGCCAGCAGGTAGTCTCCCAGGGTGTTCGACAGGTGGACGGTCAGGCTGGTAATGCGAGGAAATGCCCTCGATTGATTGTCGAAATCGGCCAGCCAATCCCGGAATCTGGAGCGCCAGCGTTGGTAAGGCATGAACTCGACGAGGAGCGAGAGCGGCGTGCGGCGCGATATGCGGCGGAGGCGCGAGCAGACGAGAGCGACGTTGCAACGGTCGGATGGGTGGGTGACGGTGCTGAGGATGGACTCGATAAGCTCGTCCGGGAGAGACAGCAGACGGCAACGGTCACCGCGCTTCATGATGACGACGAACCGGGAAATTGGATTGGTAACTGTGACGTGATGGTAATATAAGGGTTCAGCCTGGCGAACCAGATGGAACTTCGCAGATTCCAAAGATGTGGTAGAAGCGAAACGGCTGCTGACGAGGCGAGAGCTGGAAACCACGAAACTGTGCGACTGCAAGATGGCTAGTTACAAGGCAAGCACACATAAATCTAGGAATAGTGTAAGGAAATTCCCTTTTCCTTACTTCGCGTCCCTGCTCAACGCGTACATCACTGTAGCACCTCAGTCAGCACCGTTACCACTCGCGACCATCGCATCATTCATCATCCCGCCCTTTTCGCACATCGCATCCCGACCTCACGGCTCGGCTGGTAACCCGCGCTCCGGACCTACGCTTCGACACTTTCCCAACCTCAGTCCCAGGCTCGTCGCGCGACCATTACCGTTACCACGGTAGTTTCGCTATATAATGTTCGCTCATGCCTTCGCTCATTTGGATTCTTGCTTCGATAGTGCAATTCTCGTTCGTTCACTCAATTGCACTCGTAACACTTGGTATTCAGAGCCTACGATCTCATCTCGGACCGCATCCACACCTTCGCTTCCCACTATCTCAATTTTTTGGGGGGGGTAGACGTCTCTCAGCGACACAGCACCGCCGCTCGTAGTGCTCTCTCGAAAGCACGCACGGCCACGACCGAGGCTCTCGCTGAGCTTGCCCGACACCCCCGCCATGGCCGATTTCAATCTCGCCACGTTGACGCAGGAGCAACTCGATCGTCTCGTGCGTCAATTGGAGGATTCGGCGCTCGAAATCGCGACTCTCACGGCGGAACGTGACTCCGCCCGTCAACAGTCAACGGTGAACGTACCGACGACATCACACGCACCAACCAATGCATCTGCACATTCGGAGGAGCCCATCGTCATCTCATCCGGCACACCAACGCAACACAACAGCACGGGACAGCGCTCAGGCGCAGCCAGTGACGGCGCAGCCCAACCGATGCCCGGCATGGGAGGGAACAGGAGCGCATTAAGCCCACGGGAGCCCCGAGAAGCCCGTCGGCACGTGGAGTTTGCGGCGACAAGTGGCGAGAACGCCATGATGGCCCCAATGCCACTCAAGCCGCAACGCCCGCCCTGCTTCGACCCAAGCCAACGCGGCGGCCCGACAGTTCAATCGTGGGTCTTCACGATGAATGTGTTTTTCGACGCCAACTACGTCGAGTCGGACGCCGCCAAGATCCGGTATGCGGTTTCACTACTCAGGGGCCCCGCCATGGACTGGTGGCGAGTCATTGTGACGTCGCCGCGCGCCTACGAGCCACCGTCGCACGAGGAAGGGCCCTCGGGTCCAGCTGTTACCTGGAGTTCGTTCTGCGAAACCGCCCAATACAGCACGTGGGATGCGTGGTGCGCAGGGCTTCGGGCGTGCTTTGAGCCGATCGCGGCCTCGATTTCGGCGCGTCAGAAACTGCGCACTTGGCGCCAGCTCGGGTCAGTTCAAGACTACACCAGCGGGTTTCTCGCACTTTGCGAACAGGTCGGCTACATGCACGAGGCGGAGCGGGTGGACCGTTACGTCGGAGGGCTGAAGCCGGACATCTCGCACGAGATAATGCTACGCGGGCTCTCGAATTTCAACGAGATCCTCGCGCTCGCCGAGAAAATCGATATCCTACGCCGACCGAGACCGGGGTCCTATTACGGACATCGTCCTCGGGGACCGACCGAGCACGCCACTGTACATGCCGTCGCAGCGAATGCAGCTGCCGCGCCGTTTAGAGGGCGCTGCTTTGCTTGCAACCGGCCGGGCCATCGCAAGAGCGAATGTCCAGAGGAGCTGAGGCGTCGAGGAACAGAGCAGGGGAAGGAGTCTCGGAGGCAGGGAAACGCCAGCAGTCAGTAGAAGTTGGGCCAACTACTGACGAGACTGCCTGCTCGCCCAACCACACCGACCCTCACCGAGTCACAGTACCGATTCACGCCATCGATCGGGCTCGGATGAATAAGGAGGATACAGCGACGGATTGCCCGGTACTGATCTACGGGAAAATACAGGGAGCAGCAGTGAAGATCTTCATTGACGGAGGAGCAAGCCACAGCTTAGTTAATACCGCAACCGCACGAAAATTACAGTTAACGCTTAACCGATGTTTACCTGAGATAGATGCACGCTTAGTCGACGGCACGCCCCTGGCCATACGGGAAAAGGTGGAGCGAGTAAAAGTCCGCTGCGGGGGGAACTTCGGGTTTACACAGGAAATGCTCGCGACGACACTAGATGGGCACGACATTTTAATGGGACGTGATTGGCTGCGACGGTACAACCCACGGATCGACTGGACGACGGGGAGCTGCACAGTGCGAAGTAGTGGTAACTGGGTGTGAAGCAAGGAAAACAGGAATGAGAATGACTAAGGAAAGATTGGGTACAAATACAACCCTAGAAACCCTGTACCCCATATGTGCTACCCCACTATAGCCTACAGCAACTATGTCATATAAATCTGACACACCCCCATAGGCAAAGTGGGGGAGAACAAGGGGTCACAAGACCAGTCAAGCAAAGCAAAGCAAGCTCAGGGTGGATCACAAAGTCACCACACAGTCCGAGCACAAGAGTAGGGCCAGAGGCCAGTTCACATGCAGGAGTACAGACATATATATAAAACTAGACAAGCAAGAGCAGGCATATATATATGTCACAGTACAAGTGAAGTCAAGAGGAGAGCAAGTGAGGCAAGACAGGCACAAGACCCAGCTGGGTGCAAAAGCGCTGATGGTCACAAGGCGCGAGTGCCTTGGTGAACACATCAGCAGTGTTGGCCTCAGAGGCCACGTACGCAAGTCGCAACTGACCACGCTGCTGCAGCTCACGAGCAAGGAAGTAGCGGAGAGCAATGTGCTTCGTTCTGTGCTCCAAGCGCTGCTCTCGACACAAGGCCAGCATGGCCTTGTTGTCTACGTACAGCACTGGAGGAGAACGAGGCGGCTCTCCAAGGTCAGTCAGCAGGTAGGTGAGCCAGCGAAGCTCCTGTGCAGCCATGGCCCCGGCGTAGATCTCAGCCTCGCAACTGGAGCCGAGAACCGAAGACGAGCGAGTAGACCGCCACGAGACAGAGCCGGAACCAAGGCTGAAGGTGTAACCCTGTGACGACCGCTGCGTAGCCTGGTCGTCAGCCCAAGAAGCGTCCGCGTGGCCGGTAAGGACCACTGGACTCCGCCCTCCAAGCACTAGCCCCATGCCCGACGTGCTGCACAGGTAGCGCAATACCCTCTTCGCTGCAGCCATGTGCTCCGGTCTGTGTCTCCCAGGAGCAACATAGCGAGCAAGAATGCTCAGAGGGTATGCAAGGTCAGGTCGTGTGCAGGTCATCAGGTACATGAGGCAGCCAACAAGCTCTGCATACGGACCACTCGACTCTACGGACTCATCCGAAGGCAGAGCTGAGAGTGAGTGGCGAGTAGGCAGAGGAGTGGCGTGAGGCGAGGAGTACGTGAAGCCGAAGCGCTGAAGGACCTGCTGCACCATGTGTGACTGAGTCAAGGTAATGGTGCGGCGTGCTCTGTCCCGAGTGATCTGCAAGCCAAGGTAGCTGCGCAGTTCACCCAGGTCTGTGCACGTGTGTCTCTTCAGCAGCTCGGACTTCACGTAGGCGAGTCCAGCAGTGTCTGCTGTGGCAAAGACCAAGTCGTCGACGTACACGAGGATGTAGAACGGCGGCAGGGAAGTGTCGGTGCGAAGAAACGGCGACGGGTCAGCAGTAGAAGGAAGAAACCCAAGAGCCGCAAGCGTAGTCCTCAGTGTGTCGTGCCACTCACGCGGTGCCTGGCGGAGACCGTAGACTGGCCGTCGGAGGCTCCACTGGGTGCCAGGAGGGAAAGTCCCAGTGAAGCCAGGTGGACGGCGAAGCCAGATCTCCTCGTGCAGGCTACCCTGCAAGAACGCAGTGCTGAAGTCGAGAGAGTGAAGCTCGTAGTCGCGCTGAGCGGCTATGTGCAGCAGCACCCGAAGGGTAGTCATCTTCGGGGTGGGAGAGAAGGTCTGAAAGTAGTCAACTCCCTGCCGCTGACTGAAGCCACGAGCAACGTACCGTGCCTTGAAGACAGGTGGAGAGCCCGGAGGCCGCTTCACCCTGAAGATCCACATGCCACTGACGATGTTCGCCCCAGGAGGGGGAACCGCGTCAACGTAGGTGCCTGTGGACTTCCAGGAAGCCATCTCTGCATCCATAGCTGCCTGCCACTGAGAGGAGTAGGGACCCTCTACGGCCTCCGCGTAAGAACGCGGAGTCGGGATGTCTAGTGCATCCGGGTCTCCCTCAGGGGCAAGCAGTACAGACGCGAGATGAGGTGAAGCAGCAGCCAGACACTGGAACTCCTCCTGCCTGTCCTCAAGGACGTCCGTGCCAAGAGCACACTCACCCCCGACGGACGGAGGACAGACAGACGCAGACTCAGCAACAAGACTAGCAGCGTAGTCTAGACGACAGCGAGCAGCAAAGTCGACGAGCTCAGCAACAAGAGCAGACGCAGCAGTGGACTCAAAAGAGGGGTCAGTGACGACAGTAGCAAGGAGACGCGTGACAGTAGGACTGGCAGCAC